ATTCTACACGATCTGGCCCAGGAGAACTGGCTCACAAACAGCATCCTGTCCTTAAAGCTCAAGATATTTTGTCAAGTCTTAAACGTAATGATGGTAAGAGGATAACGATGATCGCGGTACAGTTTCTTGACATCCAGGCCAAGACAGAGTCTGTGAAGTTGGGTACAATACACTGAAGATGCTGTCCGTCTTTCTCACTGGTTTCTTGCGACTGTGCCTCTGTTTCTAACAGCTGCGTTGTTTAATTCTGACACGTCTGGTAATATACTTTGTAGACGCCCATTCATTATTCTGCTGTGTCGTTGATGTCTCCATTCCGTTCGCCTTCTTCTTCTTCTGCTCCTGCTCCTCCGGCTGCTGCTTTTCTTCTTCTTCTTCTTTCTTCTTCTTCTTCTTCTTCTTCTTCTTCTTCTTCTTCTTCTTCTTCTTCTTCTTCTTCTTCTTCTTCTTCTTCTTCTTCTTCTTCTTCTTTTTCTTCATTATCATCATCATCATTATCCCTGTGTTTCGACATGACTGTAGCGCAAGTACGTCGGAGGTGTGTGTATGTGTGTGTGTGTGTGGGGGGGGGGGGCAGAGGGTTTGTTCCGTCACACACTCCCCTCTTCCCAGCAGGACCCAGACTTGGAGTCACAGTACAGTATTAACCATGCCCGCTAACTGAAATTATAAACAGCATGTGTTTTTAAGCCAACACTGTGCTACTAAACTTGGGCGTTATCCAAGGGTAACCTATGTAAAATTAACACCCCTGAAATCAGATGTCCATGGAAAGTCTCTAACTTAACCACCCCAGACAAAATGGACGCTAGGCACGGGCGCTATTTGAAGCCGAGGCCATTCTTTTGCTTCTGCCAGACGGTGCATTTGCTGCATTTGTAGACTGAAAGGATATAGTTTCGTCGCCTAGCTTCTGAGTTGAATGCATGGCGTGACACTGTGAGCTGCTGATTTCCTTTGGAATGTTTTTTCGACTGTGACCAACATGGTGGTGTGAATTGTAGATTCATAAAATGGCGCGATGCCTGTTGTCGCAATGTTGGTAGTGCCCTTATGTGATTAAAATTGATCGCGTGTGCAACTGTTGGTGACTTCTGCTACCATCAATGATGAACTGCATTTCTAATGTCGGACTGTTTGTGTTAGCACTTATGATGGCTACCGTATGCTTTTAATGCGTGTGTATGCTAGATATGCTGAGACAGAAGTCTGTCAATCTTTACCCAAGGGACTGTGATAAATATTCTATGTGTTTTTAGTTGGCACAGGAGCGAAGCAACTATGAGGTGACACGTTTGCTATGAAGCTGAAACTAAGATTACCAGACTACCAAACCCGAGACAGAGTTAGAAATGATGGCATCAGACAGACTGTAGAAACAACACCATGCGCCAAATGTTTCATTGAGAAACAGAAGATCGAATGGTTTGGTCATCTCCATTGATTGCACCAGAAGATATACCTATACATGGATATACAAATGTCTGATGTGAAAGCATGAGGTCGTCACAGAAGAAATGGACTGATGAAATTAAAGAGCTTCTTCATCGACGCGGACTGACCATAGCCATTGCTGCGCATCATGCAAAGGATCGCAAAATGTTCCTCCCGCCGACGCTTAATAGCACAAGTGGAATTTAATGAAGGTGACGACCGAGTATACTAAAGTAGGCCTAAAATCTGAAACTTCTACAAGCATATCCATCAAACACTTCTTTTATAAATACGGTTGAAAAGGTAAAGTCGGGAGATGTGAACCAGCGTCATTGCACACCAGTACGGACAGCTGATAAGAAACTGTCCGCTTGTGTCGCCGTCCGCACGCCACTCCCTACCTACAGCGACGTTCCTCTATTTACCCCAGTGTAACTCTGCTACCAATTTCCTAGAGGCTGGGTGGACCCCGGAAACCGCCCGGTTTCAAACACTAGCCGTGAGTCGCAGTTGTGTTTGAAAGCGCGTCTCCTATCGACTGCGCTAACGCGGCTCCCACATCCATAACAGTTCAACATCGCGGCAATCATACTCGATGATCCTTTTATGTGGCGCTTAAATTATGTTGCTATTTATCAAATGTACACGGGTTTTACAAGTAAACTATGGACTTTCTCTTGTAAATAACCTCATGGTCTACGTTCCTCTCTTTCTTCCACACACACCTCCACCACACATAACGTTCACCACAACCCAACCCTCTCTCCCCCACACATACCTCCCCCACACATACCTCCCCCACACATACCTCCCCCACACATACCTCCCCCTCCCCAACAAATTCCCACCAACACACACACACACACACACACACACACAAACACATACACACTTCATAAATACTCCCAAATCTCCTCTCACACACATAAATCCTCCCTTCCCTACCAACACACCCAACCCCCCCCCCCACTCCCACACACACACACACAATCTCCCACTCTCCACTCACACACACAAATCCTTCCACCCCCACCATTACACCTAAATCCCTCCACTCCCACACACACACATAATCTCCCACTCTCCACTCACACACACATATCCTCCCTCCCCTACCAACATACAACCCCCCACTCCCCCCCACACACAATCTCCCACTCTCCACTCACACACACACAATCTCCCACTCTCCACTCACACACACAATCTCCCACTCTCCACTCACACACACACAATCTCCCAATCTCCACTCACACACACAATCTCCTACTCTCCACTCCCACACACACACTCACAATCTCCCCCTCTCCACTCTCTCACACACACAATTTCCCACTCTCCACTCACACACACAATCTCCTACTCTCCACACACACACAATCTCCTACTCTCCACTCCCACACACACACACACAATCTCCCACTCTCCACTCACACACAGCTTTGAGGGACTGAGTGAATCGGTGAAGACGCTGGTCAAGGCACGCGAGGGAGGCAAGAGGACCCTGGTGCTGTCGGCGTTCCTGGCCATGTTTCTCAACCAGACCTGCAAGGTGGGCGAGCAGGACATCACCGTCCTCTTTGTACAGGTGAGACACGTGTTCTGTTTGTACAGGTGAGACACGTGTTCTGTTTGTACAGGTGAGACACATGTTCTGTTTGTACAGGTGAGACACATGTTCTGTTTGTACAGGTGAGACCTGTTTGTACAGATGAGACACATGTTCTGTTTGTACAGGTGAGACACATGTTCTGTTTGTACAGATGAGACACATGTTCTGTTTGTACAGGAGAGAGACGTATTCTGTTTGTACAGGTGAGACACATATTCTGTTTGTACAGGTGAGACACGTGTTCTGTCTGTACCGGTGAGACACATGTTCTGTTTGTACAGGTGAGACACATGTTCTGTTTCTACAGGTGAAACACATATTCTGTTTGTACAGGTAAGACACGTGTTCTGTTTGTACAGATGCGACACATGTTCTGTTTGTACAGGTGAGACCTGTTTGTACAGGTGAGACACATTTTCTGTTTGTACAGGTGAGACACGTGTTCTGTTTGTACAGGTGAGGCACATGTTGTGTCTGTACCGGTGAGACACATGTTCTGTTTGTACAGGTGAGACCTGTTTGTACCGGTGAGACACATGTTCTGTTTGTACAGGTGAGAAACATGTTCTGTTTGTACAGATGAGACACATGTTCTGTTTGTACAGGTGAGACACATGTTCTGTTTATACAGATGAGACGCATGTTCTGTTTATACAGATGAGACACATGTTCTGTTTATACAGATGAGGCACATGTTCTGTTTATACAGATGAAACACATGTTCTGTTTATACAGATGAGACACATGTTCTGTTTATACAGATGAGACACATGTTCTATTTCCCTTATGTAAATTCCGGACCCCACTTGGGTAAGGAAGAGGGTGGAGGGGGCGGGGGGCTTGAGAGTAGAACTACTTCCTCCTTAATAAGTACGTCGACTAGGGGTTACCTTTTTCAGTAGGAGCGCATCTCCCCGAAAGGCAAGGAAGCAACAATCTGCATACAAATAAACCAGATATGTGCAGCGGATGTGCAAACATAACTCAAACATTGTAATAGGACATAAGTCCAGAAGTGGAAGAACAACCAGACCTTTCCGTCAGAGTTAACAGCCGATGAAGGCGAAGAAGGTGAAGAAGGAAAGGAAGAAGAAGTAGAAGAAAAGGAAAAAGAAGAAGAAAAAGAAGAAGAAAAAGAAGAAGAAGAAGAAGAAGAAGAAGAAGAAGAAGAAGAAGAAGAAGAAGAAGAAGAAGAAGAAGAAGAAGAAGAAGAAGAAGAAGAGAAGAAGAAGAAGAAGAAGAAGAAGAAGAAGAAGAAGAAGAAGAAGAAGAAGAAGAAGAAGAAGAAGAAGAAGAAGAAGAAGAAGAAGAAGAAGAAGAAGAAGAAGAAGAAGAAGAAGAAGAAGAAGAAGAAGAAGAAGAAGAAGAAGAAGAAAGAAGAAGAAGAAGAAGAAGAAGAAGAAGAAGAAGAAGAAGAAGAAGAAGAAGAAGAAGAAGAAGAAGAAGAAGAAGAAGAAGAACAAGAAGAACAAGAAGAACAAGAAGAACAAGAAGAATAAGAACAAGAACAAGAACAAGAACAAGAAGAACAAGAAGAGGGGAGGAGGAGGAGAAGAAGAAGACAGATGAGAGATTAGTTCCGTTTGTACAAGTGAGACTGATTGTGATTGTACAAGTGAGAGATTGTTTCTGTTTATTTCTAACGACGAACTCAGTACACAGCAAACTTGAGCAACATTAAAGATGGCGTCTAAACATGGCGCCCGATTATCCCGCAGAGATCCCCGCTGTCATGGCCGCCTTCTTGGTATGGATATCTGCTGTCCGTGGACTACGCGGTTATGGGACTCTGTCTGTTGCTGCTTCTTCCGGTCCTGTCCACTTTCCTACACATCAGTGACATCGCCATTATCCTGCTGGGTTTGACCTGCAAGTTGGTGCGCACCGTCTGGGCCGGCTTCTGCACCGAGACCTGGATGGTGTACGCTTCCGTGGTGGTGGGCGCCATGGCTGGGGTCATCACTTCCGCTCTCAGGTCAGTCTGCCACGTCTGGGTGTTGTGTCCTAGTCCAGTCCTCCATGTTGTGTGTTGTGTCCTAGTCCAGTTCTCCATGTTGGGTGCTATGTCCTAGTCCAGTCCTCCATGTTGTATGTTGGGTGCTATGTCCTAGTCCAGTCCTCCATGTTGTGTGTTATGTCCTAGTCCAGTCCTCCATGTTCGGTGCTATGTCTTAGTCCAGTCCTCCATGTTGGGTATTGTGTCCTAGTCCAGTCCTCCATGTTGGGTATTGTGTCCTAGTCCAGTCCTCCATGTTGGGTATTGTGTCCTAGTCCAGTCCTCCATGTTGGGTATTGTGTCCTAGTCCAGTCCTCCATGTTGGATGTTGTGTCTCTAGTCCAGTCCTCCATGCTGGATATTGTGTCTCTAGTCCAGTCCTCCATGCTGGATGTTGTGTCCTAGTCCAGTCCTCCATGTTGGGTATTGTGTCCTAGTCCAGTCCTCCATGTTGGGTATTGTGTCCTAGTCCAGTCCTCCATGTTGGGTATTGTGTCCTAGTCCAGTCCTCCATGTTGGGTATTGTGTCCTAGTCCAGTCCTCCATGTTGGGTATTGTGTCCTAGTCCAGTCCTCCATGTTGGGTATTGTGTCCTAGTCCAGTCCTCCATGTTGGGTATTGTGTCCTAGTCCAGTCCTCCATGTTGGATGTTGTGTCTCTAGTCCAGTCCTCCATGCTGGATATTGTGTCTCTAGTCCAGTCCTCCATGCTGGATGTTGTGTCCTAGTCCAGTCCTCCATGTTGGGTATTGTGTCCTAGTCCAGTCCTCCATATGGGGTATTGTGTCCTAGTCCAGTCCTCCATGTTGGATGTTGTGTCCTAGCCCAACGCAAGTCAGTCCTTCTTGTTGGGTGCCATCATGAAGAAAATATTGGGGGGGGGGGTGGGGATGGGGTGCTGGGAAAGGGAGCTAAAAATAGGGGGGGGGGGGTGTTTAGCGCCTGTGTGATAGGTACATTTCTAATAAGTTTGTTTATAAAATAGTCTGTACTACATGCTCTTAATGATTCCTGTTTTGTTTCCTTTCATTCGTGTCTCAAGACTAGAACCTGTTTTGTTTCCTTTCATTCGTGTCTCAAGACTAGAACCTGTTTTGTTTCCTTTCATTCGTGTCTCAAGACTAGAACCTGTTTTGTTTCCTTTCATTCGTGTCTCAAGACTAGAACCTGTTTTGTTTCCTTTCATTCGTGTCTCAAGACTAGAACCTGTTTTGTTTCCTTTCATTCGTGTCTCAAGACTAGAACCTGTTCTGTTTCCTTTCATTCGTGTCTCAAGACTAGAACCTGTTCTGTTTTTCAGCGTCAGGGTTTGAAGAGGCATCAGATCAGATGTGAGCCTTAGTGTATGCTAGAATTTCCATCTGTCTATTACTTGCATGGGCGACCTCTGTCTTTGACAGGTTGTGTCTTCATAAGAGGTAGCACTATCGTGTAGAAGTCTTAAGACATATTCGAACTATTTCTCATTCTCTTGCTGCTGCTGCTGCTGCTGCTGCTGCTGCTGCTGCTGCTGCTGCTTCTTCTTCTTCTTCTTCTTCTTCTTCTTCTTCTTCTTCTTCTTCTTCTTCTTCTTCTTCTTCTTTTTCTTCTTCTTCTTCTGCATTTCAAGCACTTTTGGATCATTTCTGTAGAGATATCCCACCTCCATTCAACTCTCTGGTTGGCCTTCTCTTTCCAACTGGTGACACCAAGTGTTTGTAGGTCTGTGTGAAAATTATCTCTCTATCGTCTTCTCTGTCTTCCTCTTGGTCTACGAAAATTCATCTCCCTTGTGTATACATTTTTTTTTCTTTTAACATTTTACCTCACTGTTATTTGATATTCTTTCAATATTCCCCAGCCATTTCAGTCTATCAGCTCTCACGATGCCAGTGATCAGTAGTGATTTAAACAGATCATGAATTTCCATGTTGCTTCTCACTATCGACTTCCACGCTTGTGCTAATAATTTTTTTCACTGCTGTTGTTATTAAGGCTCAGTGGCTTAGGCGTTGCGAACGCTCTCCGTAATTCCAAGATACCCGGTTTGACTCAAGCTACAGGCGATGTGGCAGCAGACAGCCTGGCGTTAATTCAGCAATGGTATCCAGAGACAACAGTGGCAATCTACCGAATGTAAAACTGCCTTGTAAAATAAAGAGGCCAAAAAATGCTAGGGTTGGTTACGTAAAATCTGGTAAAGCAGGATTTTTCTACTAAGTGTACTTAGGGGCCACAACTTGGGAAATAGGTATGGCCACGGGCTAGGGGCCTGAGCTCCAGAACAGGACGGTAATTAACGCAACAGCACGGGTAGTAACAAGTAACGAAGTCAGGAGAGAAACTCGATTATTATGGGCTGGAGAGAATAATGCACCTGGTGTAACCAGAGGGTTCGGCCGGCACACTACGCTCGGAGTAAAGGCAAGATGGACATACAACCAGACTACGACTGGCACCCTTAAAATTTGAAATCTCTGGCTGCTGAGGATGGGGACGGAACGCGTATAGGAATGCCCCGAGCACTGTGATGTCAATGTTTGACTCAACACAACGGGTAGTGATCCGCAGACAGCTTGCTAGCCCTCCGCGGGCCAGATTTGGCCTGCAAGCCGCCAGTTGAATAGCTTATACTGTAAAGCAGCGGTTCTCAATCTGCTGGTCGCGACCCTTTTTGGGGTCGATGGACCCTTTCACATGGGTCGTCTAAAACCATCGGAAAACACATATTCATTGAAGTTACGAAGGAAAATAATTGTCTGGGGTCGCCACAACATGAGGGAGCTGTATTAAAGGGTCGCGGCAGGCAGGGAACGGCAAAAGCCAGTAAAACGGTTGTACACGCAAAACTCAGGCCAGGTAAAAGCCAAAAGTTCAAAGGGACGATTAACCGGGACCTACCGCCAGAATTCCCAGCCGGTGAAAGAAGAAGAAGAAGAAGAATAGATCGCGGCATTTGGAAGGTTGAGCGCCACTGCTGTAAAGGATTCCACAACTACACTTTATAAAAGTCTTCCGGCATCCGATTCATCGATAGTTTTTAGGCGTACTGAATTCATTTCAGCTAATAAAAATTGTGCCGACAACTATACTTTCGTTTTGTTGTAAGAGTATAACTGTTTGTCCTTTTTCTCCCAGGTCTATCCTCAGTAAATCTGTCAGCGACCACGAGCTGGGTAAGATCTTCGCTCTGGCAGCCAGCGCGGAGACGGCGGCCAAGCTTCTGGGCTCTGTGGCTTTCATCAACATCTACAGCGCTACGGTCACCATCTGGCCGGGTCTGGCTTACATCAGCGCTGCCGGGGTGTACCTACTGCTGGCTGCTCTTATGGTGAGTCGTTGGGGAATCTCCGATCAGTCTCCTGTTGTGGAAGGTTGGTTGATGGATTGGGATGTGTTTAGATGGGTAGTTGGAGTTAACACCGCATTTAGGAGGGTCGGGGACAATCGTTGGATTCTTTCAGAAAATCAGTTTCATTTTTGTGGCTAGAGCACTCTGGGGTAAGAGGGAAAAAACGTGTGGATTGGCTTGCTGGTAGAGCCGCCGCTGTGGGTACAGAACAAGCAATAGACCGGGTCGACGTTCTCAATTTTTGCATGGAGACACGACGGGTAGATTGCACATGAGACAATGGCGGATCGCAACAGTAAAATTACTACAACAATTTCAGGTCAAAAGAGGTATAATCAGACATGAACACTATACAGTTATCCAAAGAAGAATAGTGAATCAATACAGAACTGGTTTTATCAGTTGCCACACGGTGAGGACACACTTAGGATCGGATCCAAGCGCTTGTGGTCGTGTCCAATTTGCGAAGAGTAAAATCGGTCAAAAAACTAAGAGGAAAAGCAATCTGAAATTATGTTATGGAAGGATAGGAAGGGTCTTTGTTGGCAGCTGGTATTGGAGGGAAGCTTCGAAGGTGCGCTGATTTTATTTATCCAGTATCTTCATAAGAATGCATTGTTCCAACCGTACTGGTGTTACCTTTCCTCCGGAGTACACAAGATAGGTCTAATGAGGGATCATGATACACAGGCAATACATTGTCTCTACAACAGTGTCCAAACTTGTGCTATGGAGAAGAGGGACGTTATTCCTTGTTCTGTCTTTGATTCCTATCACAGATCTAGCTAATTTGTATGCAGTTTAGGTTCCTCGCCCATCAGATAAATGCACTCCGTCTTGGAAGGAATCTCGCCGTGTGGGTTCCGGGGCCCTATGATAGGGAATACATGAATAGACCCACAGCCTACCCAAAAGCATGTCGTAAGATTCGACTCATTGTGAGCTTTCTTCAAAGTCATAGTGCATCAGTCTGAGACGCGAGGAACAAACAGTCTGCACATACATGTGTCAGATCTGTCAAACGTGTGCACAAAAAGAAGAAGAAGAAGGAAGGAATCTCACCTAAAGAGTTGCCTTGTACGACATGCTTGTTAGGGAGCAGTGGGTCTTTTTCCTTTTCTGCCAGAAAGGGGTCCAGGAATCCACATGGGCAGTTAAGAGACTTTCATTCTGAAGCCAGTTTGGGCAACTTTCGTTTGGTCCAAACATTTATAATCGTTCTCACGAAACAAGATTTGTTTACAAACTTAGAAATGTGTCGATCAGACAAAATTTAGCGTTGCTCAACACACAGAGTTGGATAACTGTCCTGCAGAAACTCAAACTAGACGTTGCTGCATTAAACTTTTTCTGCGGTTTTATCCTTGAAAGGGCAAATGACACACTTTGTTGTGGTGTACAGCTAGGCTGCAATATCTGTGCCTTTCGAACAAATATATATGATTTTAGCAAACCCCTAATTATTCGTCTTTTACGACATGCTTGTAAGAGAAGCAGTGGGTCCTTCCACCGCCCCCCCCCCTCCCCCATCTCCAATGGGACCCTGTAACCCGAAAGAGGTAGTACCATTGAAAACAAAGTTGAACATTTATACATTAACTATATCTTTGGACATCAGTCGATTATTCACAAGTTTCAGCACCTATCTACCAAACACATAGTTGAACATTTATTCACCACACAAACTTTACTAGCGACTATCTCATATACAGAGATACATAATCTCACCAAGCAATATTTGATTGAAATGTCAGTACTGAAACGTTAAATATCAAATTACGAAAAACGATTTTCAGTCAACAAGATGGCGACGTCGGCAGCGTAAGTGTCTTTTACATCAGAGTTTCTCAAACTTTTGTTCACCATGGTACCCTTGTTAGTCCCCCACTGCCCCCTGAAAACCCCCCCCCCCCCCCCCCCAACAAAACAAATCGCGCACACCTACCCTTAAAGCGGTTTTAATACTTAATGAAGGAGAGAGAAGAAGAAAAAAGTACAAATTCAATGTTCAGTTGTCTTTAATAGGATAAAAGAAACTGTTTGGATGAATTTTTCATTATCTCTTTAATGTTTATGGGAAGTTTAGTCAAGTGTACCCTCAAATCCCTTGTATCTCTCTCTCTCTCTCTCTCTCTCTCTCTCTCTCTCTCTCTCTCTCTCTCTCTCTCTCTCTCTCTCTCTTTCTCTTTCTCTCTCTCTCTGTGTGTGTGTGTGTGTGTGTGTGTGTGTGTGTGTTTATGTAAGCATACGTTCAAAATGCACTACAGCCTTGCCAAAAGCATTGTTTTCTGAATACACATGCATCCAGAACTCTTCTTGCCTTCCTTCATGGTATTTCTGTTTTAAACTTCTGTCTTCGCTGAACTCAAGCAGATTTTGAAAAATTATTGATTATTGCCGCAGCGTACCGGGCTTACGCTCACGGTACCCCTGAGTGTCATGGCACCCAGTTTGAGAACCTCTGTTCTTCATGACAGTTATGGCATCTTTATTAAAACGCCGTATTTTTGTCAAGTCCGTTTTTTTCAGACGTTGGTATGATTGTTTGGTTTGTTCAAACAACGGATCAACATCAAGGCACGAAAGTAGTAACCCATAAGTGCTTTGTTTTACTTCTAACTCAAGCGCTTGAGTCTGAAGAATCTCAGCGCAGTGCACGAACTCCGTAACACCGGCGACGATTCCGAAATACTTTAGGTAGATTTTTAACTCAAAATTAAGCCCAGGCAGCTCCGTCAGGTTACTGTTTTTTTTTTTTTTTTTAGATTTTCAGCTTCCAAGGGATTTTTTTATGTGCGCAACAATACACACGTGCGTCTGATATTACTACCCAGAGACCAGGAGAAATGACTAGAAGTCCACGGGACAAAATACCAGTCCTCACCAGGGTCTGAACCCGGGACCTCCAGCACTCGAGGCGGTCATAATGCCTCGAGACCACGTAACCCTCCACTGGTGATGTTGATGATTTTTTTTTTTTTTTTACGTATCCAGAAACCATGAGTTGTAAACCCTTTGGCTCGGTACTATGGATATCGCAACCCTTCGGCATTGATTCCATTATAGGTACCGTTAATCTGGGAGAAATGTGGCTTTTCTGCCTACCCCCGGGAGTGAACCCGGACCACAAGGAGTTTGTCACCCGGCCGCCGCGAAAGTCAGGTTTAACCAACTTCGCTAGAGAGCCGGGCGTGATGTTGATGATCATAATGATGAATGAGGAATATGATTGTACTGCGAGACAGTGGAGGACGGGAAGAAGCGTTGTAGAGTCCTGATGACCTAGGCTCTTCAAACAGTATTCAGTATATTAGAAATGATTGATGGACAGTTAGTCGCTGGAAAATAAAACAGACGTTCTAATTTTACTAGGCAGGGGAGGCTTTAAATAAAAACCTAAATAATATGACACAAATGACAATAACCATGTCTTCTAACCTGTCAATATTGTTGATAAGGATGTCAAGAGTGTTAAACACGTAGGATCACGGTGCAGACGAACACGGTGACTTTATAATGACAATCTGAGATTTGCCGCCCCACTTTTCTATTTATATTTCTAAGGTTTGCATTTGAATCTTCCTCGTAAATGTGTTGATATATATATATATATATATATATATATATATATATATATATATATATATATATATATATATATATATATATATATATATATATATATATATATAAAAGGCTAAACGCTGTGGGTTCAATCTTGCCCTCCCTCCTTTGTTACTGCTCCAAATACCTTGGTCCAAAAGATAAGAAATACTGACATCTTAAAAGATCTGAAAATCAAGGAAGATTGGCTAATAAACAGCATCTTGTCTCGGACTCTGGAATACTTTGGCTATATCAAATGCCTCGGTAGATTGGAAAGAATAATAGCAGAAAGCATTCTGAAGGAATCGGGGGCCATGTCGACCAGCATGAAGACTGGTAAATGATATAAGCTGGCGTCTGTGGCTTAGACCTTGTAAACGCACTTAGCATTGTCGAGATGTCGGGTTTGATTCCCGCTATACCTGACATCACTTTCTAATCACTTTGGGACGCGAGCACAGGGCCTGGCCAGCTGGTGCTGCAGAATCAGAAGTTCGACACATGATTCATGACAATTCCCGC